TGGTATCTTCGCGACGTCACCTTCAGTAGGCGTGGGAGGAGGGGTAACCGTTTGCGTCTCTTCCTGCACTTTAGCAGTACTAGGATTTTCACCAGCCTTGATTAGTTCCGTTATCTTGATTCTACGGTGTGGATACAAAACAGCAGTGAGACCCTCCTCCTTGTCATCACCAGCACCATTGTTCGCAGCAAACACGCTTGTAATCTGAGCAAAGACACCGACCGGATGAACCGAATTAATATCCGTAATGACATCGCTATCCGTATGCTCGTCCTTTAGTAAGAAAGCGCCAAGATAGGGTTGACCTCGCTTCATCATCTCCTTGATAGCAGCGACGACAGCTGGATTGCGAACGACGACAGCCTTGTAAAAACCGGGAAAGAGAGGACGTCGTGCAATGGGGAGAGCAAGAACCTGGGGATAGACTTCTGGTACGGACTGTTTAGCTATTGAGCTGGGAGTAGGTGTCGGCTGTGAAGATGGTGGTGGTGGATCAGAACCATCGCTACTATCTCCGCTAGAGGAAGAAGACGGTGGGGTTGATGACTGGGAAGATGAACCTGCTGGACTTTCGTCATCTGCACCGTCAAGCTTCACAGAATTGCTACTCGATTCTGCCGCGTCATTCTCACTGGGTTCTGATGGTGCTGGAGGGGTGGTTTTATTATTGCCTGACCAGCGTGGAGAGGATAGAAGGGGAGATGAGCGAGCAGGGGTAACCAGAGATGTCGAAAAATGTCTTGAGTTAGCTAACCTGGCAGCTATCTGAGTACCCAATCGCTGTGACGATCGTGGAACGCCGGTCGTGTGCAATGCTCGGGTGAGACTTGAGCGTAATTGTTGAGTGCAAGACGCGCTATTCGCCCTAAGGCTACCTGCAAAAACCATTGGGAGGCCAATTCCTTCTCACTAATTAAAGTGAATCCAGCCGCTCCTACGAAAGAAAAATGAGTGTGCGGGTTAGTTCAGTATAGGTTGATTGAAATTCGTCACATCAAACAGATTAGTCAGCATAAAGTACTCACGTGGTCTGCATGTATTAGATTCGGGCCGGATTAATAGATCAGTACAACCTTTAAATATGGGATCTTCACAACTTGGTCGTGACCTGCTTGTCAAGTCTTACTAGTGCCACGTCTTGTGGATATGCTGCCCTCTATTGTTCGCATTGCACCAAAGTCGCACCACCTGCACAGGACATTCACCACTCCCAACCCCATTCCAGCTACCTTCCTCCGTGGAGGAACATCGAAAGGCGTATTTCTGAACAGGGCTCATCTTCCAGAAGATCAATCACAATGGGACCCCATCTTCCTGGGTATTATGGGCTCCCCAGATACAGCCAATGGTCTCCAGATCAATGGCATGGGCGGCGGTATATCAAGCCTGTCCAAGATATGCGTCGTCGGCTCAGCCTCTGCGGAACAGCAGGCGCAAGGCATTGATGCCGAGTACACTTTTGTTCAAGTGGGAATCCGTGATACCACTATCGACCTCTCTGGGAACTGTGGAAACCTTTCCAGTATGATTGGTGTATTCGCCATGGACGAAGGATTCTGTTCCCGAGATCCTTCTGCTCTATCCGGAACCACCACTACCATTCGAGTTCATAACACGAATACAAATAAAACAATTGACATTACATTTCCTGTAACCTTGGCTGGCGATGGCCTACAGCCAAAGCTAGACCTACCTCAAACCACGATGGCAGGGGTCCCGGGAAAGGCTTCACAGATAACCCTCGAATTTATCTCTCCAGCAGGTGCACGAACCGGTGAACTACTTCCGACAGCGAAGCCACTTGACTCCGTGAACACACTTGACCAAGAAATCCCAGTCTCACTCGTCGACGCAACGAACCCCACGGTGTTTGTAACATATACAGACTTGTGTCGCGTTCTTCGCCCCTCATCCCTCATTGATTTCTCAACCCCTGAACTGCGGGAATTGATGGAGTCCATCAGACGGGCAGGTGCAATTAAGATGGGCCTTGATCCTAACATGCAAGCCCAGCCAAAAATTGCAGTCCTGTCGCCGTCATGTGACCAAGATCATGATATTGGTATTCATGCCTTCTCGATGGGCGTATTGCATAAAGCCGTACCCATGACAGTCGGTTTGTGTCTTGGTGTTGCTGCGAAAGTTGAGGGTACGCTGGCCTGGGATTTAACCAAGTCAATGCGGCTCGGGAAGGTGGAGAAGAGCGAGTTCATCAGAATCAAACATCCGAGCGGCATCGTAGAAGTGGGAGCAGATTTCGCAGCAGATGGTGAAGTCTTGAAAGCGAAAGTAGTTAGAACGGGAAGGAGAATCATGAAGGGGGTTGTCTGGTGGTAAATGTAAATATTAAGAGGAGAGCATAGGAGCTTACGGTTTATGTTTATCCGTACGTATGCCAAGTTGCATAGGAGTGCCATACCGTCATCACCAAGTTAATGGTTCGCTTTCGATGCTCCTAAGATATCTTGCTACGTACCTCAGCGTACCCAGCAACTGCAAAAAGTGGTTCAGCTGAGGATCGAACTCAGAACCTTCTGTGTGTGAGACAGAAATCATAACCATTAGACCACTGAACCGTTGTTGCGTGTCCCCACCTTGACAAAATGAGGTAAGGACTTGTATCCTAACTGAATTAACCAAAATCATGACTACATCATCGCCTGCTCCCTAGTGTAAACTGACCTCTATTTCTTTGACTTGTCAGGTCCAAAGAAATTTAAAAGACCGCCACGTTTCGGTGCCTTCCCACCCTTGGTTTTAGTCTCGCGTAAGGAGTTCGTCTCCTTGATCTTTGAATTAGCCTGTACCGGCTTGTCCCCCGCCTCATCCTTCGACTTCGATTCTGCCTTTTTCTTACTTTTGGTCTTCTTCGCATCATCACGCGCAACTTCCACAGCTTCATCTTCACTGACAGATTCATACGAGGAGTATTCTTCTGTATCTGGAAAAAATCTGATGAGAAATGGTGCGCTTATCACTTTGGGATGATAACCATACGGGTATAGCCTTTGGCATCAGTGGTAGTGCGATTTTTCATGGCACGACGTTTCTTCAAACCGTTGCGTCCGACGGGGACCACTTTCCTTGATTTCCTCTTTTTCGGTTCCTCGGGCACGGCTTCCTCTTCGCTGACGGATTCATACGAAGAGTAATCCTCCGTTTCTGAAAAAACATCATGAGAATAGCACATTTATCATTTGGGAATTGTGAGCATACGCATGTAGCCTTTGGCATCGGTGGTGGTGCGACTTTTTAAGATGCGACGTTTCTTCAAACCATTGCGCCCGACGGGGATTAGTTTCTTAGTTTTCCTCTTCTTAGCTTGGGGCTTGACGTCCTCCTCCTCTTCCTCGCCGAGACTAGATATCAGAGCGTCCACATCAGTTTGGTTGACCTCGTCACCAGTATCGTCTACCTCAACATCAGGGCGATGAGAGGACAAGCGGGACGCCCTGACAACTTGGTCTGCTGGCTGATTAGCATAACATCAGGAATAGTCTGACAACGGACCATCGTCAATATCCATCATTGCCGCAAGACTCCTCTCAGAGTCTGAAGTGGACCGAGTGATATTTTTGTGTAGCTTGCTCGGGACTTCCTCATCCTCGTCATCCGACACTACGACACCTCTTTTCACCCTTGCATGATTCATTGCGGAAGGCATCGCCCTCCCGTCTTTGGGCGTTGGCTTGTGTTCGACATCTACATCCGAGTCTGATGGATCAGGCGATTTACGCTTAATAGTTCGCTGGAGTCAAGTAACGATTGATTATAGACCTCCCTAGAAATATTATTACTGACGTACCTTTGGTTCGACTGCAGGTACCTTTGAGATATGCTTCTTCATCGATTGCAAACCCATATCACTATTACCCGACGATTTATCAGCCAATTTTGCCGAAGACGACGAAATCTTAGTATCTTGTCTAGATTGAAGCTTGGCCTTATCCTTGACGCGTGATCCTGATGTGATCTCCTGCTCCTTACTCTTGCCTTTGCTCCAATCTAGTTTACCAGTCGGCTTGGGTTGCTCTTTTGTCGTAGCAAGTGGTTTTGCATGCACATTGTCCTTTGACACTTCGTTCCGCTTACCCTTGTCTGTCGTCTGCTCTAATTTTTGCGGTAAAATATGTGGCTGGGGCATGACTGGCTTTCGCGCATCTAACGTTGTCTTTGATGATGATGCTGCAGAGACATTTTTGGGCAGTCCATTCCTGATCTGTGTCTTTGTGAGATGGTGAAGATGAACCAAAATATGCGATAAAGACCTTCACGTGTGCACTGATTATCTTCCCATTGAGCGCGGGGCTGCCCTTTGTGTCTGCATTCCGGACACTGGCGGTCGGTTGGCAAATCAAGCCAGCATCCTGCACAAACATGAGTTTGTTTTGTGTGCCCTTTCATGAAGCACCTACGCGTAAGACTGAGGGTGACAAGCTGTATATATGAACGGAATGAATATGGGTGAATTGAGCTTTCGCATCTGTGGCACACCGCTCTCGTTAGCGTCAAGACGCGTAGAAGAGGAAATAACACGACCTTGCAGACCATTGCAGTCTACCAAAACTATCTTCGAGCGCATTACAGATTGGTGTGCATTGTCATCATCGCGAGTGACGTCCATTGCATCAAGCAGGCTTCCATTGGTGTGCAGTGGAGAGATTTGACCAGAGACCATGTACGTTGCGAATGATGGCGTGTCGGTGTTTACAGTGTCCACTAGATACGCGGCAAGCTCACTGTGTAGATGTAGCACTCCGTTCAATATGAAGTTATCAGGGTGCCTTACTTTTTGGCGTCATTGACGTGAATACCGAGCTCGCGACTCAAAGACCGGAATGTGACCTGGCAATTATAATTACGTCGATGTTCAACGTTCAGAGTGCGCGTCCCTCATACCACATTTTTCTTAATAAACAGTTCTTTAGTGAGGAAGTCTTTGGCTCGTGTGGATGTCATGGAAGACGTGAAGTAATGAGTCGTGAGAATAATTAACACGGACGCGCGCTAACAGAACCTCTGCGGAAACCAGCCAACTTCTTGGCACATGTACCTTACTATTTCACCTTCAAGTGTTACTAGTATAACGAAATGAAGCCCCAAACAGGATTCCTGTCTCTTGCTGAAGAAATCTTGTCTTACATTCTGAGTTTCCTTCCTTGCCGAGATATTCTTCGGTGTACATCTGTGGGTCGCCATCATTCATGTTATCGTTGTTCTATAATCTAGATAGACTGATGTTCTGATGATCCTCTTGCAGGTATGTAGGACCCTTCGCCAGACGTACTTGTCCTCCTCCGAACTTCAGTATATCGTTGAAATAAGTGGACAACGGTTGCTTGTTATCTCCAACACGGACAATAGCATACCTATTTCTAAGCGTCTGCAGCTTTTGAGAGACAAAGCTCACGCATGGTTCAAGGTTGACATCCACCCTCTCGAAATGATCCCCGTAACAAGGCCACCGCTATCTCGAGACAAACTGGTTGCTGGTGGGCATTTCTGCTTGTGGGACGCACTGTATGATACGGCCACGATTTTTCCAGTACTTCCAAAGCCCTCACAACAGTCAATCCGGCGAAACTGGCTCCAAGGAACGTTGTGTTCGGTTCCACACTCACACAAGCTTGATGTGTTGATGGATCCAGCACAAAACCTAATCGCTGTCGCTTATGTCGTTGATAACAAGACAGTCTATATTAACCTTGGAGCCCTGGATGGTGATGGTGTTCACCCTCAGGCTGCCGGAGAGAGACTGTTTCTGTCGGATGACTCGGAAAACCGCCATGGGAGGATAATTGGATGGCTCAAAGGTTCTGGGACGCATATCGCATTGTCGCGTTGGTCGGACAATAAAAATCGGACTTCGTTGGACAAGGTGTGGCAGCTGCAGATTTGGGACTGGAAATACTCGACAACATCTGGTGTGAGCTTTGGTTTGAAATAGTTGAAAGACTTGACGGTTAATTCTGAATTTAGAGCATCCTCAGTGGTGCAGTACTCAATGGATCCGTCAGCCCACTGGCAGTTGATTTTTGTTTCCTCGGGAACAATCGATTGCTGGTTATAACCGATAACTTGAATCTCTATTCAATCGAGGACATGTCCCAGCCGCCGGAATTACTGGCATGTTTCCTGATCCCCATCCCATTGGAGTTACGGTGCCTCTCTCCGATAGATGATATTGGGTATGGCTCACAGCCGCATATGCAAGCCCAAGCGATGATGTGCACCTCAGACCCTATGCATCGACTCATATGCCTTATTGCGCCTTCTGCTCGAGATAGTACTCAAGTCTTCATCATTTCCACGAGGATTTTCTTCGACCTCAACGGAGTGGCAGCAGCAACGCCAATACCATGGCAACATTGGGGCCCCTCAAATACTCGTATCTTTCGGCACTCATTTGGTTTCAAATTTCACATTAACGGAAACCGAGTCTTGCAGACACTCCCTGTCGGCACGCACAACACGCACTTTATATTACAACTATTGGACTTTAGCCCGCTAGCTGTGACAAACAGGCGGGGTCTAGGACGAGTGGTGATAGAGCCGTCCACGGCGTATATCAGTGCCGGTAAATTCGGATTTGGAGAGAGCTTGACAACATCCCTGCCTTACGTCCAAGTCGTATTTTCGGACAGAAAGTTCGATTGTGCTGGTTCACTGTTGAGGAGCATGTGGATCGACAAGGATGGGATTTATATGTTCTCCAGATCACCGAGCTTTATTGACAGACTTGAGGTCATTGACGTCCAGTCTGACTTATAGAGCGGTGTGGTATCAACTAGTCGATGATTAGCTAAGTACTTATGGAGATCATTGGTCGAGGATACCATCTTCATTCGACCAAGGCCTAAAAATCTGACTATAGGAGACTTTGTTTCAAGGATGTGTTGCCATAGAGTATAACTCTCGAGGCCAATCCCACATACGTCCAGACTACCACTTATAACTAATGTTGCCCTGTCGATGCCAAGTTTTGCTGGCCATCTTGGCTGTGGAACTCTTTCCTCGGTTCGACTTTTCACTCAAGTGAATATATACGGTCGTTATGCAATTGCAGAATGCTCTGCTCACAATATCCATCAGAACTCGGTGAATCGCTGTACGTACTAACTGTCGAGATCTCCGCTGATTTGACTAGTAGCATATGTTGGGCAGGACGTTCTTCTGACAAAGATTGCCAGTCCAAATGCCCCAGAACCGCGACCTCGCGGGAGTATGCTTGCAGGTCACAGTGCATACTTCGTACACCGTGACTCTCCAGTATCAATGTCAGACAGCAATGAACGAGATCGGAGACATCTAGAATTTATTTTCCCTCGAAAGAACTGGATGAATTGCGTTTGTCAGATATCATGCTCTTCCGCGCACCGTGTAGGATACTGTCAAGTGATGAGGTGGAGCCGCTGCTTGCAGCTGGCAAAAGGTTCTATCTCATTACACGCAATGTGCGGTTTTAGATTCCTCTGCCGAGCTCGTGGCGATCACAGGGATCATTCAGTTTTTCTAGTGTTGGTGGGGCAATAGCAATCGATACATCGCTGGGTAACGTTATGGGAATCCAAATTGTCCAGACCTCCTTCAAGTACTCGAGGACCGCGATTATCCAAGTCGCCGAGGGCCTTTCTGGGTCCAAAGTTGCTGAGGACGTCATACATGACATTGGAGGTTGGGATAGCGATTTTGAGCCTGCAGGGTATATGGGTCAGCTGGCTGAACCATTATCAACGGATGCAATGAACTGAAAAGTGCAACAAAGCCAACGTCGCAGGTATGTATCCTTCTTTTCGTCCTCTCATCCCGTATCTTCATTTTGTCGCAGAACGCAACGTCATAAACACTAGAAGCACCTACACGACAGCAACGAGTATCTGACTGACCTGCAGACAGCATAACGCCAGGAACTTCTCATGGTAGCCGCACTCTTTCGATCGAAGTGTATGTGTTTGAAACCTCGCACGTACAGAGACACAAAAAATGTCAATCGACTCATTCTCATGTCAGAAATCTGACAAGATAATGGAACTTCGGCGTGCTACACGCTGGTATCATGACGGATAGAGGATGCCTCTTCCATGGCTCTTTACATACTCCGCCAGTAGCGGTGATGATGACTCCATTTGCGAGTGGTCCGTAAACATGCAGGTATGTCCAGTAATCCAACCGACGCCATATCCGCCATGCAGTGAAATTTTTCATCTGGGCATCGGAAATGTATTTCACAGTAAGGGCCGCGCAAAGGAGGTATCCGCTGGTGGTATGAACGACACCCTTTGTGGATTCTATATAGACTAAACCTTAAGCTTCATGCTGAAGTCACATCACGCACCCAAGCTGATTATAAAGGTGTGATGTTGGCTCGCGTAGATGTCATGGAAGACTGGAAGTAATGAGTCGTGAGAATAATTGACACAGACACGCCAACAGCAGAACTTCTGCAGAAGCCAGCATCGGACTCAAAAGGTTGTCAAATAGCAGCTCAGTGAGCAAACACTCTAATAAATGTCAATAACCTGAAGCTTACGGTCTCTACTACACGATGTCACAAATACCAAATAAATCCTATCATCATCCATCCATACATCCTGCAACCACCCACCACCGGCAATCTTCCTACTTGATACTACCTCGACGTAAGGCATAGACTTTTCAATCGTCGAGTGCCAATGGGTGATATTGTCCCATGATTGATCGGGCCACTCGGAATAGGAGCCACTCGTGGTGGTCGATCGCTCTTTCACCACTCGTCCTAGACCCCGCCTATTCGCCACAGCCAGCGGGCTGAAGTCCATCATACGCAACTTATACGCATGTGTCTTTGACGTTATCTTGTCCACCAGCAAAACCCGATTCCCGCAGAGGTGAATTTTGGTTTTGTTTCTTGCTTTATACTTCAAAACACGAACATGTCCAGGGCCCCAATGCTGCCATGGTATACCATATCTCCATGGTTTATACCTCCATGGTTTTACCGCCGCTTGGTCGATGTCGAAGAAAATCTTCGTGGAAATGACAAAGATCTTTCGAACATCATCAATTAACGAGTAAACGCATAGCAGTCTGTGTTTAGGGTCTGAGGTGTACACCGACTGGGCTTGTGTCTGCATCTTCGGCTGTGAGCTATGATCACTCTCCAAGTTCACCAACGGGAAAGGCAACTGGAAACGTGCCAGCAATCGCGGTGTCTTGGACGTATCCTCGATCGAATACAGCTCCAACTCTCGGTCAAAAACGAGCAATCTGTCGTTCCGAGAAAACAAAAACTGGCACTGGTGAATGTGCTGCCGCTGAGGGCGCTCTAAATTCAAAATCAATCATCAATTCAAATCATTCCTGACTCAAGCTTGAAGACTCACGCTGGATGTTGTTGAGTGCTGCCAGTCCCAAATTTGCAGATGCCACGGCGTCTGCAAAAACCTCGAAGTCTCACAGTCGCGCCACAAAGCGATATGCCTCCCATAACACTTGAGCTTCACATCAAATGCATACACGGACAGCTCCAGGTTCAGCGCTGGTCCAGCAGCGTGAGGGTGGACATGACCATCATCCAGAGTTGTTAGGTAAATGCGATAGGCCATGTTGTCAACAATATACATGATGCCGAACAGATTTTGTGCTGGGTCCATCAATATGTACTTCACTCTCTGAGTAAATATTGATGGACACAACGTTTTTGGTGACCACTCGTGTTCGATTGTTTGTTGTGGATATTTGGATGGTATTGGGCTGATGGTGACCAAGTCGCTATGGTGGATCCACGAGTAGAGATATTCACCAGTGGAGCATCTCAAGTTAGGAAACGGGATTGGTAAGGTGCCTGTTTGGAAAGCGAAGACATTAAACTTGAGCCATGCGTGGGCTTTGTCCCTCAGGCGTTGTAAGCGCTCGGAAATAGGGGTGTGGTCTCCCGTGATGGAGACGGGGAGCAAGCATTGGCCGCTGAGTTCGACAATGTACTGGAGCTCTGAAGAGGACATGTATGTCTGTCGAAGGGCCTTACATACCTGTGAAAACTAGTGAGTCAGTATAAGATTCTATCTAGGACGACGACAACAACCCACGGATGCGCAACAAAGGATATATCTGAAAGAAAGGAAGCCTAGAATGTAAACCCGGAGTTCTTCAAAAAGGGACAGGAATAGTGATTTAGGCATTATTTCGTGGTATCTTCTCTTGACAAAGCGGTCAACCGTGAGTGGGAGGTCATTGAAAAGTTGTGAGACATTATAAGCAGCGTAAAATTTCCAATTGGGTCAGCGCCCCTGAGGCTTAGGGGAACGGCATCGTCCTCATTGGTCTTGACATTGCATGTAGCGGCCTATTGGTAACAATCACTCCGAAAAGACAAATCGTGAATCGCTCACCAAATGGATGTATCGTAGCGCTACGTTGAGTAAGCTTCGGAAAACACATTTAATTGACTATGCTACAAAATATAATCTGATCAGAAATGCACGAGTACTACATACACAACGGGACTGCGAAGTTCGAGGGTTAATTACAAGAAAACTAATTATGACGAACCCTTCATGTCCGCGACTGGGATCGCTTCCATAAAGATTCCGTCGGTTCGGATGTGCAAAAAGCACGCGTAGTCTTCGTCCAATCCTCACGCTTCTGTCTGCAGGAAGCAAGATAGCTAAGCTGCGCAGGCGTGGGATGATGGGCGTGGAGAATAAACATATAGTCTGACATGTCGCTCTGTTGGACCACCGAAAAAGCATTTTCTCCGCTTCTGATAAATGCGGAGATATCAACGCAATTGTCTGGAGTAACCTGCCAAACAACTTCAGTGTGGTTTGCAAGTACATCGGTAACACTCACGAAAATGGGTGGAGCTAGTGGAATAATAAAATCCTTCCCATCCCGCTTTGTCTGCAGTGAAAGGTCCCCAGTTGCGGGCCACGAGCATTGCGAATCCATCGTAAGTTTCTCAAACGGAGTCGGTTGATCATCTTCCGGTGGATTTGGCAAGAGACTAGGGAGATGATAGCAAGCGAATGACACACAGACACTTTGTTCCAAATCTCTGTGAACTGCTGAGTATGTGGATAAAAGCGAGAAAAGGACACATACGTTGGTGACGACTTGCGCTTAGCCCACCGAGCAATTTGGAGATAGAGTGTATGATCGAGGTCGAACGTAAGGTCGATCGTCCCGCGAGGTGACTCGAGTCCTTGCCGAAACATCATCACAGCCATCTCCCCTCCAAATCTCGCACAAGCGACTTGCGGACAGGTATTATCCACTGGAGGTAATGATATCTCGTCTCCGTCTCCGTGGCTTTCTACACCCACATCTGAGGGTATCGCAAGTGGCTGCCTTGGAGTTGGGGTATCTGTATTTTGTTTTGGCGACGGCGTGGTGACCCCAGGGGCGATGTTTCCTGGCATACCCAAGAGGAGTGTTTCTGAACCTTGAGGTATATTTTCTGTTGGTGGGTCGGTCATAACAACATCAACTAGAGCGGACGTGATTTCTTCTTCGTTGAGTTCTTTGGCAACTGTTGGCGCTGGAATCTCGGAGAAAGGCAAGGTACTCGTCAGGTCAACAGTATTCGCAGGAGCTGCAGGCTCGTTTATCGTCGTCAGTTCAGTAGATGCCGGTCGTGGAGGTAGCCTCCCTGGCATGCGAGATGGCCGTATTTTCTCTACAGGGGGCTCCGTTGCATCATTTGAAAACTTGAGCGCACTGGGTGGAGCAGCAGGACTTAAAGGCTTTGAATCAGGAGCAGCCGCATGCTGATGATTTGCCTTGAACCATTCGAGGTCACGGTGTTTGAGGTGCTCAGATAGTGAAGATGCCACAGATTGGCGCTTTGGCTGAGGTTTTGGAAGGATTCTCGGGATGGAGACACTGGCTGGGGAATCCGCATGAATATCTGGGTGGGGTATAGACGAGGTCGAAGGCTGCGCTGTAGTCTATGAATTTATACGTTAGATCATGAATAAACAACGCGCGTGCATCTTACAGGTGATTGAACTGGCTCCATTTGCGCAGTACTAGGAAACATTAGTTGCGTGCTTGGAGTCACATCTCGGGTAGTTGTGATCATTGAGGTAGCGTCCCTAGACAAAATCATCATACTGATGCTCAGACTCAATAAATGCCTGCGTACTTGTATTCTTGAGCTGTGGCTTCGCCTTCAGCCCGGATAGGATATATAAAATTAGTCGAAACCTCAGAAGAACTTTGGATCAAGTGTTGGAGTCGGACTACATAAGACGATTGACACAGCCGGACACTTAGCAAGATTCGACACGTACGTTGCAGGTCCTCCTCTGTAAAAAACCGTATGAAAGGATTTACGGCGCGAATTAAGGCCTGATATATATCTATCACAGCAAGTGCTGACGATTCTGTTGCGAGAAACCTTCTCGTAAAGGTCTGATGGGCAATCTGTCGAGTACGAAATGAATGAATAGAGCAAGAATCGACATGTCTACACACCTCGAGGAGCAAAACGATCTGATATTAGGGTTTGAAAGTAGTTTATTGAGCCTCGCTTCTGCCAAGCTGAACCAGGATTCCAACACTTACATTACGTAGAGCGTCAGGATAGTATGCTTTCTCGGAGCCCAACCAGTTCTTCAGCTTTTTGGCAGTGTTTATGTACTCGTTGAGGTCGTGTGATGCGAGCCTATTTGCAAAGACCGGGAAGATCTTCGCGTTGGCCACAACGGCGGTGTGTGGGCGAGAACTCATGATAAAGTCGTTGGACGCTGATGCATCTGTGAAATATTTAAAGGCTTAGACGGCCCACCAACCTTGCGGTGGTTTTATTGATTATCATACCAAAGGAATTCAAGTTGTGGGTGTCACAGCTGGGTGCTTGTAAGTTTAAAGTTATGACAGCTGCAGGACGCCGTATATGTAAGTGGCAACAAAGGCAAACAAATTTATGTAAACGTCATTGAAAATTCGGATGTCTTCCCTCGGTCCGTTCCACGAGACTACATGGTACTGAGGGTACGTTTCATTGCTCTGATGCACGCTACCTAGACACTGACGATTGATTATATCACGATAGATCGATGTCTGTCTAGATTGAGCAGGCAACACCATGCTAGGCACATAGAATATATGTAATTAGTGGAACACGATGATCCCTATCTTCATTGAAGCTCATGTCTTCAGATGCCTTCTCATATTCAGGTTAGTCGCGCAAATAGCTTTTATGTTTAACCAACGACTGATTCTTATAAGTATGTAAAGAACCTATCGTAGACAGCAATTGATGTTGCAGCAGCTTGTCTTGGTGGACATTGTGTGAAACGATCCTCATTCTTGATACGCCCAACCCTTTCAATTGATGCGACACATCGGTCATGGCAGTACCACATGCGTATTTCCATGAGTGGTGCGTCGCAAGACCTCGATATTCTGCTCGTGGCTCATCGTCTTGGATACCCGTCGCACGTACCTTTGATACGTCCGTCGGTTCCCAACGTTCAACGACATATTCAAGTTGCCTAACGTCCGGTGTGCGAAATCGCGAGCACACGTATGGTTAGACCTCCTTGACGCAACCATCATAAGTCGATGTTGATGCAGATTCGGAGTTAACAAACCGTGAGAAGAGCGGAAGAGTGCTGCGGAACCAATCTCTATCAAGCAGTGGTTTGATGAAAAAAATACCATACTGGATGCTTGCAGGTGGATTCAGAAGCTGATGCAGATGGCCCCCGCTTTTCATACTAAGTATAACCACCAGTAAGCTATGGGATTCTTTGGCATGCTGTATGATGAGTAAGCTGATCTCCATCCTGGTAGTACTACATCCACATGAGTCAGAATAACATGATTCTTTTCATATATAACGGTGTAGATGCGGCAGAGTTGCCCACCCCGTCGTAACACCCCCCAGGCATAATCATCCATGACCATTTCTGAGTCGTCAACAGGCATGCCACTGGATGCCGCTACTTTGATGTCAACAATTTTGGAAGGCATCCTATATGGTGAGCATTACAATTGGTTACTCCATGGATCCTACGGCTACAAAACGCTGAGAGGTTTTCAGGCTTTTCAGTCCTTATGTTTATAGGTACCATATGGATATTCACATACAAACGTCGCATGCGGGACGCCAGGCCTACTATTGTGGTTGCCACCCTGTTGTTCCTACTGAGTACTGTGGTTAGCCTCCCGCCGCTTGCAGCCGATGTCATTTGCTGAAGTCTCCAAAGCACATGGTCATTTGCATCATTTACGTTGAAAACGGACTGGTGAAGTATAGCGACACGTTTCCGGGCGGTCCAGTGGCGTACTTCGCAGACCTTCTTCAACCAATGTTTGTGGTGAAGAATGCGATACTTGTCTTGCAAACTCTTCTCGGCGATGGGGTAGTGGTGAGTTCATTTTTTATCCGCCAGATTGACACCATCGTGGCTCATAGGAATCCCTGTGAATGAAAAAAAAGATATATCGGTGTTACGTTGTTTGGCAATCTGTCCGGATTATCATCCTACCTTGCATAATGTGGTGCGGTGTCGCAGGTTAGGTTGCAACTACAGCTAGGAAGCTGTACGTTCTAATGTTGTCTCCAAGTGTTTGGTGTCTGTATGGTCTACAGCATGTCCCAACCGGCTAACAATTCAAATTTTTTCCTCAACGCGACCACACAATGGATCACGACATTCATTTCCTTCACAATGGCAACTAATTTGTTGAGTTCAGGTAAGCACACTTCTACATAATGTCGAATTCTCATACTAACTTGAATATATCCAGGGTTACTGGCATATCGCGTCTGGACGATCGAACGCAAAGTCTCTGCAACTCGCGCTACGAAAAACAACATACCCATATTGCGTGTGTTTGTGGATGCCGCTATTTTGTACTCTGCGGCGGTGTGCTGTTCGCTCATCTCTTTCGTTTGCTCGAGCAGTGGAATGTATGTTATGGCAGACCTGGTAATTCAGTCGTTGATACCTGTTTTCAAAATTAACGAGATTCGATCAACCACATAGGTCATCCCGATCATTCCGATTGCCTTTTATATGGTGTTTATTCGCATCGCGAGCAGTCAAAACAATCAAACTTACGCCCAGACGGTCCGCGGTGGGATAACTGAGACAGAACGAAGAAATTCGCGTTATCCTGTGCAGCCTTCGCACACTATCAGATTACACAAACAGAACAGTAATACTTCCTTGACCGATAGTCCAAAAGTGTAAGGATAGTTTCATCTCTAGCGATAGCGAGGTGCGAACACCTTATTCTACGTAATTCTCTTTCCTTTTCCTATACTCTTCACCGTTTCACAATATTGTCACACGTTTATTTATATCTCTCATCCGCCATCTCTAATCGTGTATAACAACCCGCATAAATTCTTCCAAAGTCTGTTGATCCTACTCACCAAAGTTTCTCAAACTCTGGCCATCAGCTCTTTTCATATGCCTTTCCATTCAGACTTGCCGGCACTCGAGCGGTACGCGTTGTACTGTCCACTTTACAAAAGCTAATGAAGCATACCAAGCTGGATGACTGCAGATATCTCCATAGGTGTAGTTATCTAGCTCAGTATACTTCTGTCGAGCTATTCTGACACTTCGAGGAAGTCATCACGCAAACATTCGGGTCAGACTGTACCCACCGAAATGATTGCCAAATCTGCCTTACCTCTGGAACAGAAGTAAGTTTAGATCTCATTGTCCACTACGCTTAATAGCAAATAAATGATTTTCCGATTGTTATAATAAGTACATTGTCTACATATTTCGAACGTATTCTAGACCTATCAGTGGTATAACTGATGTACATTACTTGGTCTTGCACGAAGAAACATACAGCCCAATCAGGCGGTGTTGGGTGCACATCATCCGCAAAAGAGGTTCAATATAGAATCGCATTTCCGCTACGCGGTATGATACGACACTTGAATGGCAATGGAAGGCTGTCAAGTTGTTATCAGTGAAACATAATAATAAGTACATAAAGCGGCTGCGAACCTCACAAAACTCGACGTATATTCAAGGACCACCTCTTCTTCGTTGCCATCGTCTTTCAACGGCGGTCTGATTTCGAAAGTAGCCAGAAATTGACTGACGAATAAGAAGATCTGTACGTTTGCAAGGTTCAATCCAGGGCATATTCTTGACGTTTGCTCAGCAAATGCAAGATAGCCATGATGTGTCGTTTGCCTACCTCTTTCCAAATCCAAACGTGAAGTCTCGGGGATCCTTGGCGCTGCTTTCATGCCCCAAAGGCAAATGACGCTCAGGCGTAAATTGATGAGGATCTCGGTAGATGCTCGCGTCGTGAGTCATTGCCCTAAATCAAACATTGTAATTTCTTCCTCTCAGAGCCTAGTGGCTAACCTACCATATGTTGAACATCACCCAGGTATCTTTGGGAATACGGTAGCCCTTGTACGAGTCGGTTTGCATGGGCGACCTTGGGATCATAGGTGTCACGGGATTAAAGCGATGAACTTCTCTTATCACCGCATCGACGTATGGCAACGCAGCCATGTCAGACAGCAGGGGCAGTCTAGTAGACTCAGTGACGCTCATAATCTCTCGGTAAGCCTTTTCTTGAACATCTTGGTGCGCCATCATCAATATCAAAAAGTCCATGAATACCGCGTATGTCTGTAAAAAGGTTCGCGCTGTTTCAAAATGTCAGACAACACAAACAACTTACAGTCTCTATCGCGGCTAACTGTAGTGTTAGAGAATGTCCCGTCCTTTATAACAAATTTACACACCTGTATAGATGCTTGATGCTGCAGAGATGAGCTCTTCCTCCTTATATTTTGACGTGCCTGCGATGATGTCGTTGAGTGCGTCGGGCACCATTCCCCGCATCTCAGTACCGTCGAGCTTCGTGTCATGTTCGTTATAAGTAGGATACGATACAACATATAAACGTACGACAGAACTGCGTGCCTGTCGGAAAGGGCGTGCAGTATACTCCATGAACTTTGTCCTAGCATCCCTCGCCCATGGTTTGAAAGCCATTCCAGGGAACCAGTCCGGTAAATACAATACTGAGATATTCAATAAGACTGTGTGTGGTCAGGAAAATATGCTTTACCTAGAGGCACAGTATCAGCAAGCCAGCGTCCAGGCCGCAAAGCTTGTTGAGTGTGAACTGAAATTTCGTCCCCCAGTTTGAGTTCGTGATCTTCTACTTTTGTCCCGTATGTAAATCGAGTAATGAAAGACCCAAGATACCTTGGAATTCAAAGAAAAACGTCACTAAGTGACCGTGGTATTAGATAGAATTCGCACCTTCGAATATGCTGCTTAAACAGCTCCGGAGATTGTGCCATCTGCAGCATTAAGCTGGTAGTCTCTTCTTCAAGGACTGGGCCCCAAGACCTTTGCGCCTTTGGATTGAAACCAGCTTGAAGGATCACCCGGGCCTTCTTCTGCCTGTCAGTATGATCCATGAATGCGATATTGTCTTGCCGTCCAGTGAGAGCCACCATTGACCAAGTTGGACGGCGGGCATAAAGCGTAGACTTCGTTTCCAACAGGTCCGTGGCCGCACTAGCCTCATTGACGATGAGGATGTCCCGACCAAAAGCATAAAGATATATTAATGGCCCTAAAAACAATGAGCTCGTAATGTATCGGTCGAAAAAGAGATCATGCCAAATATGTTGGACCAGTTAACAAACTCTTTCCATGGATGCTCCCAAGGCAATATCTCCTCGTTTCCAAACCAAAACTTTCCTTGTGGACCTGTATCACTGGTGTCACTTTGTGCGTTCGGCACGGAACATTCAACAATCACCTGGGGGAAGAGGCAAGCGCCGGGATCTGGCAAAGGCCCAACTCGCCAAAGCCAGCGTACAAAAACATGAACAGAGACCTAATGTGAACATATTCGATCTTCGGACATACGATAATTTGAATGGGCCGCGTTCTTATCTTTATGCTCGGCGGTAGCCCGAGCGCGCCAGAATATTTCGATCCTGGAACATCCAAGCGCGCTTGGGCTATGAGATTGATACTACGGCCGCATTGATTTTGATTCCAATTTGAGAGTAGTACCGGATTTGATGATGTGGCTAAACACTGAGCAACTGGTTACTGCAAGAGTACTAGTGAGATGACCGGCCGGGTATACTAAACTTTTTTTTCTCTGATTAGTCATTACATGTCCTACTCGTCGTATTTGCGCACAACATCCTCTGCCATTTTTTTTCCAACTGTAGTGCTCATGGACGCTTTGGATCCTGCCTATAACCTTTGACACCAATCCCACTTCCGCTCTTTCCTAGGACCTGCAGCCTGGCCATGCCGTAACCGCCGGTTGATCCTTTTTGGAACAACACTCATCAAGACTGGGCGGTACGTCCACGCCAGGATCTATCGCCAGATCCTGATCGCCGCGCTCGCAGTCAACCCTGCCTCGTTGTCTCTTCATCAAGTCAGTTACCTCCATTGGTGCGGGTCTCCTATTCTTTCTTCAGTGATTCCACTGCCATCCTGGATTTCCTTCTGCTAGCTTCACCTCCTCGGGCTACAATTTTATATTACATCCACATTAGGCGGCTTACACTCAACAATCAAGGACACGATAATTTAAGAAGTTGGTTCATCATTTGTATGAAATATTGTCGAGGAGATGCTACACGTATGGAAGAGGGTGACAAACACGAGGAAGATGGTGAAAGCGCGCGGAGGAGTTGGGGGGAGGAACAATTTAGAGTGGCGATAAAGGTTCAAGGGAGTGACTCCGCAAACGTGGCAGAACAGAGGGCGGTGAACTTCGGCGACTTAACGAGCGGTGGTTGAACGATTTAGAGGTCATTGTCATTGTCACCCTGTTGAGAGCCGATCTATGCACACTCCGGTAGGTAGTGGCTTACTATTTTAGATCCAGATCAATCAGAAACGCGTGACCTACTGGAAGGAGCTTCTCTTGTTTCATCCACTCCTTTTTGATCCTTGTCGGACCGTCTGGGGGTACCGCGTGCACTGATTCGGAAGCTCAAGCGCTCAAGATGCAAGCTGCTAGATTAGTACTGGTTCGTCGCCATACATATCAGCTGATCTTTGATATCAACTAATATGACAAGTCGATATCATTCTAGAATCTAGTAATTGTAGGGTCGAGATCCTACCAGATCTTATCACGCAACTTGCCATCCTGTGGATGTTCTCATCAGACCAAGCATCATATCCCATGACTATTTTAGTAATTGTGGGTTCACTAGCTCCGTGAACTAGGTCGGTATTTAGCGCCACTGAAAGGCGTAGTTGGTCTTAGTCACACTGTAATTCAATCATCTTCGTGATCAAGATATTCTCGCGCAGATGCGCCCAATGATCATCGATCGATATCCAGTCACGGTTCTAGCATCCCTCTCAGCGCCTGTCTCTCTATAAGAACGGCTTTGAGTCTCATTTCTCCTTACTAGCTGAACAATGCTGACCTCCGTCGATGGAATCAAAGGACAAGTCTTCGACTATATCATCATTGGTGCGCTCTGTATCAATTTCTGATGTAGAGTAACTCACCTTGCTTCCAGGTGGTGGAGTAAGAAGGAGCATTCGCGGCTCTTAACTTGAAAACTGACCGATAGCCCCTAGACTACTGGTCTCGTTTTAGCGACACGTTTGTCAGAAAACCCATCGACTTCGGTACTTGTCTTGGAGGCAGGCAGTGCTCATATCGATGATCCCAATCTACGTCAGTCTGGCAGAATACTCGTGAATTATCCCTGATATCAAGTCTAGTGATACCTCAACAACGTTGGTTGTTTATGGGCAAAGCTGAATACGACTGGAGCTTTAAAACTGTCAGTATCTCCGACTGTAAGCTCATAATCGCAACTAACCAGCGCAAAGGAAACACAACATCACGCCAAAGACAGAATATTCACTTGGCCTAGGTCAGTTTGTGCTGCTTGACTCCGAAGAGTCATTGCTACGTTAACTAGTGGCTCTTGTTTACAGGGGAAAAGGACTGGGAGGCAGTTCCGCAATCAATAATCTCCTCTGGAATAAGCCAGCGCGCCAACACATTGAAGGCGAGTTTTATTTGCCTACATCGACACCTCCTTAACACACCAACAGCATGGGGTGCGCTTGGCAACGATGGTTGGACTTGGGAAAAATTTCAGGCATATTCCAAGAAATCTGAGAGGTCAACAATATCAATATGCTGAGGGTTGCGTCACTAATCACCTCCCAGGTTTGTGGAACCGAACCATAACACGGATGTTTTGACGTACGATACAAAGCTTCACGGGGAGCAGGGTGTGTCGCTTCGTTGATAGCATAATGAATCTTGCTCAACTTATCTCAGGCCCTATCGTCACGTCATTCCCTCCGCTTATTTCAAACCTTGAGGCAGATTTTAGGAAGGTATTGCTTGTATTCTAAGGATGTCACATTCTATCTCACATCGCTGGCCAGGCAATGGAGGCCCACAATGTCCCGACTATTCGAGACGCAGTAAGTTCGTTGTAATGATACACTTGTACGTTCTGAAAGGAGTTTCGCATCCAGTTCTCCGGGGAGGTAAATACTTTATTCGCTTACGACTTTTTCCACCTAATCTTCACTCAGATCCGCGGAACATCTCCCTCTCTGTCCAATTTGGACCCATCAACGCATCATCGATCTTACGCTACTAATGTGGGTGCCTCGAAGTTGTAATCAAAGTTGATACTGATCTGTCACAATCGCTCAGATGTATTATCAACCAGTCGCAGGCCGTACTAACCTAAAGGTCATCGTTGATGCCTATGTGACCGAGATCATTACAACGAAAGTCAATGGATTAATCACCGCCACTGGTGTCAAATTTGTCAAAAGCGACAATACCTACACGGCAAATGTCACTGGCGAAGTGTGCCTAACGGCTGGGTAAACCCTTCTTTACTATCTGAGGTGCTGCAGCTAAATAATACTTCCTCAGTACAATTATGTCTCCAAAGGTTTGAATACTGAATGTGTCACTACCTCGATATGGAATAACTTTCTGCTTAGATACTCGAGATGTCTGGCATCGGTGATCCTGCTGTTCTTCGACGGGCGGGTATTGATGTGAAACTTGACCTCCCTGGTGTTGGAATGAATGTTCAGGAACATCTATACACCGGAGTAACCTTCGGTGCGTCGCGGAATACCGACCCAGCGTATGGTCGCTGACTCACCCTGACTTCAGAGTTGACGGATCACTTTTCGGGCGAGCAGGAGGTCAATACCTTTGATTCTCTCGCCACAAATCTTGGCAAGCAAAAAGAGCTGTTGTAAGCCAGAGCAATAGTCAATTGGATCGTGCCTGCTGAACAGGACATTACTAGTGCATCTGGCAAAGGCACTTTGAACCTCAACACTGTCGACGTCGCGTTCGTCGCGTTAGCTGATATTTCACCCGAACTCAATGCAAAAGTAATCGCATCCTTGCAAACTGAGGAGAAGGACGCGGGACTCGCTGCGCAGTACAAGATACAAGCAGAGCATCTTCGGGAGAAGGTCCCTAGTCTCGAAATCATACTTGCTCCAGGACCCGCAAAACGTATGTATCACATTTGTCGTTGTATTTAGGCTGATTTGGTTGCTTATTGCATTACAGCACCCCCGCAGGGGTGGGATGCCTCGAAGAAGCATGTTTCACTCTGTTTTGCAACCAACTGTCCGCTTTCTCGTGGAACCATAGTAAGCAACAAATTCACCCACGAGTTCTTTGCTAATGCATTTGATAGCATGTTACATCCAAAGATTCGCTTGCGATTGACCCCCATATTTTTGAGAATAGATTCGGTAAGGCAAACTTTCTCGTATCCGCACCACTCTAATACACCCTGTCGATTTTAAGACCTAGATACCATGGTTGAATTAGTCAAGTATTGCAGGAGGTTAGCTCAGACGCCTCCCTTGAAAGGAGAAGGAGAGGGCCGACTCAAAGGTAGGCGTTGTTTTCACACCTTATGAAACAGACTCATACTGCATGCATTCCAGAAATTCATCCCGGACTAGACTGTCAAGATGATGCCGCCATCGCAGGTTCGGTCATGATTCAATTCCTCAAGTGAAGTTACTCACCTGAATTTAGAATGGATTTGCAACAATGTCAACACGACCTTTCGTAAGTTCTCTCTACATGTCTGCATACACAACGGTGCTAGATCATTGCATGTCAGATACTGCTGGTTCATGTTCCATGCTTCCGAAGGAATTGAACGGCGTCGTCGATCCTCAACTCAAGGTAATACTCAAACACAATCATTTGTCGTGTTTTAACCATCGACCTATAGGTATGGGGCACCCACAATATCAGAATCGCCGACTTGTCAGTCATCCCGCTCCATGTTGGCAGCCACACTCAATGTAAATGTATCGCTTATTGCTTCACTACACCCCCTAACATCATCTTTCCAGCTGTGGCATATGCTTTAGCAGAACAAGGTATGCTTCGATTCTTTCTGAAACTACTCGCTCTTATCATGATCTTAGCTGCGGACATCATCAAGGCGGCCCACGAGTAGTAGATGAACTCAGCTGTATGTTGTACAATAACAATGGAATTGTAGTCACATGTACCAATATGCATACGTCTTGAACAACCTTTTCAGAACTGTTCCGTTTGGCACGTTCAAGTCAGTCGATCATCTTCAAAGTGTCTTTAAGGCCAGCTTCATGCGCGTTGATCAGTCTTAAGTTCAGGCCCGTGTATTTCCAGATACGAGGACACTATAGTATATCACGATCACGATTCATAAGATAAGGATACACGGATCTACTCATCCTCTCGCTACAAGTTGCTGCGTCACTCACTGCCATTCTTGGACATTTCCCTAGCTCTGGCTTGGAGTTCTTCTGCGAGCTGCTCAGAACGGGGAAGTATACAAACTTGAAACGATTCAGGGAACCTTGCCAATTTAGTCGTGAGTAAAACATCCAGGTAGTGCATGATGTAACTGACCTCATCATACCCTGTCTAAACGGCGCCCTCAAAAGAGAGTTCCTTCCGTCCGATCCAACAGTCGGAGATATGACAAAGGTGGACACGAGACCAGTCACAAATAAAAATACGCTATTATCCGCAAAGAACCTGCCGGGACATATCCTTGAGGCAGATTGACATCAGAACATCAGATTAGTGTCGCCACTGCACCACGCACCTCCTACCAAATCCAAAAGCGTACGAATATGGGTCCAATGCCGTCCTTTCGACGCAATCGTCAAGAAAACGTTCTGGTGCAAATTCGTTGGGAGAAATTCCGCTGATGTCGTCCCTAGACATCGCCCTATAAAACGGAATGAGTACGCCGTAGAATCTACATAAGTTGCATAACGCTGACCAAATGTTCGGAAAAACAATTGTTCCCTTGGGCACGCGGAACCCTTGGAAGAAATGACTCAACAGATGCCTGCCGATTCAAAGGATTGCGCGAACCTTGGTATACGTCTTCCTTGCTTGTAAAATGAGGAAGACTTAGAGGAACCACTGGATTCCACCGCATCGTTTCTTTGATGGCAGCATTGACGTAAGGTAAGCGTGAGCGATCATCCAATGTCGGGAGTTGCCCATGGCCAACAACGCGATCAAGCTCCATCCTTATCTTGGTCTGAATATCAGGGTACAAGGCCATGGCGAGAATGAAAGCCAAAATTGTGCCCATGGTCTGCATCTCGAAACGTCAAAACAACATGTATGATCAATGTATTGAAATCTTGCCGTTTCACTACCAGCTAATGAGAGTCAGTGTCAAATCGGAACGTCAAAAGACTTCAACTCACCCCCATACATCGAACCAGCAGCCCACCGTATGTCATGTTCCATGTCGGCAGCGCCCTCTACCTGAAGACAAGTAGCGGTGAAGGATGCGGTTGGTGAAGACGACGAAATTTGTTGCTTCGCATGTTCAAAGGGTAGTCCGACAACGCGAAGAAGGCGCGTGCGGCCTTCTGTAGCAATGACATGAATGTTATTGAAGGGGACCCAAGAAGGGATATATCTGACTGGAACCATGCAGATACTTCATATTAGCACTTCTCCTGAGGACAGAATTTCACAAGATTTACTGACGCCATGGAAACATATCGACAGCGTATGCTCCTGGCATCATTCCTTTGCCTATGGTGGCCATCATAATCTCCAGTTCAGCAATAAACTAGAAGGGAGGTGTAAGAATGTAAGACAAAAGTCTATCGTTGGCCAAGTAAAGCGCACAAACATTCATCGTCTCCGAGCTTTTGACTGGGACACCATATGTCATGGACAACACAATGCGGCCCGCAGCCCTTGAATTACCTTCTGTGAGCTGAAAGACGCTATGATGAAGTGCACCACTTACAACCGAAGCTGAGATATGAAGTCGCTTGGGTTCTCGATGAGACTGTCCAGAAACGACACGACGGCCTCCGTTTGCAACTTGCTATATTCTTTGATTGCGCCAGCATTCAAAGCCAAATGAGCAAGCTTCCTTTGTTGTTTCCACGCAGCGCCATATCGAAGTAAAGGAAAACTCTAGACCACCCAACCAAGAGCGAAGTTAAAATACCAACAACGGCAGCATCCCAATACCACCTACTTGGCCAAGGCCCATGAGCTCTCCTAACATCATGGGTACCGGACGATCGGAATACGATTTCTTGGATAAAAGTTCGTTAGCATGTTCGAAGGAGTTCAACACCACGATCCGTTGTTGCAGTGCCTCAAGATAGATGATGTCGCCTATGAGAAGAACGTTTACCGAAAGTACTTTGTATGAAATGTCTGGACAACTAACCATACAAGCTTTTCCACTCTGCGAATACTTTTGCCATGTCAACTAATGGAATATCGAAGAGGTTTCCTATGATTGGCATTTTCTTAGGACCAGGAGGTAGCGGTATGAACTGGTGTATGTCCTTTGGCTCGCATTGTCTGAGTCTTTTGCGAATGACTTGGCCCAAATAGACGGCGAATGCACCGGCCAAGCACGCAAAACCTATCAGCTTGGAATACATGTTAACGGAAGTAAAAACTGAAGCACTTTGAAGCACCTTGATGATCACATTCAGCCTAAATATCACCGGCGCACCACCGAAACCTAGGCTGTGCGGGTGTCATTGTTAAACGCTGACGGGGAAAAGAGTGGCTAGTACTACTAGTATAGGTACGGTCACCGACCGAATAATAAATTAGCCCATTCAATTCAATTACATATGCATGCCCAATATGGGCCTATATAGTGATTCATATAGTAATTTACCCACTAACTTAACGGTACTATCACCGCTCATACAGGATCCACAAAATGGTGTTATGTAGGGCGCCGTGATCTGATACTGATGCGGCTGGACTCCGAGTGCAGTACACCGGGCGCAACTTTCTATTTTCAAAATGCCTGGGGTTCACACGTGCACGCCTTCAAGTCACTGAATTACTTGGAGACTCGAGTTCTTTCCAAGAGCGTTAGTATCGAGAACACATCCGCTTGACAGAAGTTCACGACGCCTACTAATCATGCCTCAGACACTGTTGAATTCCTCAGCCTGTACTTTGCCAGACAGTTTCGTGCAATTTTGCAGCGATCAATCAGCTTCTACGTTTTGTTGGAATGTCAAGGTCGATAGTGATTCAACTCTCTCAATTTCTGACAGAACGAGGGCAGACTTGATCCAGGACGCTACTGCAACTGCACAACGGTTCTTGCATTTCGGCCTTTCACGAAGGCAATGCGGAGCACCACTAGTCAACGTATGCTTCTTCGCGCGCAGTGGCTATGATATCTTTGTGGGGTTCCTCGCTGCCTTGATAAACAGATGGACTGTGTGTCTAAACTTTCTTCTTACCTGCGAATAAAGTCTGATAATTCCAAGCCGACATTGATATCTGACAAGAATAGTCCTGAAGGTGTAATACACCTTGTTCGTGCCTCCGGTTCTCAGTGTCTTTTCGTTGACGCTACTCATCCCGACCTCATCGATCTCGTACAACGCCAAGTCCCAAATCTTCAAATTATCCCTCTACAGAGTGATAATGGGACGACTCTACAACCCCCCGTCACTTACCCTCCCATCAATCAAGACCACGACTTACTAGACCTAGATATGGTCGCGTATAATCTTCATACTTCAGGATCAACAGGTATGCAATATCGTCTCTCCGCGTCAATCTAACCTTCAAGATATTTCAGGACACCCCAAACTGATACCAATTACTCACAGACAGTGGTACGACCAAACCATGCGATTGACACCATTTCCGGGCCGTGCAGTGTGTACCCCTATGCCTATGTTTCATGTAAATGCGTCCATTGAGGTCTCATCGGTTTACTCATGCGCATCTGCAGACGGTGGGGCTTACTTGCTTAACCAAGTTCACTATTGGCGCAGGCTGCATACCGGTAATCATTGAATCCACGCGACCTTGCACAGGAGAATTACTGTGTCATATCCTCAGCCGCTTCAATGGTGCAATCTGTGTTACCCCTCCGTCCCTGCTTGAACAGATCTCCTTGATGGGAGAAGGAGCAATACAAACACTCGGCTCTACACATATGGTTTTGTTCGCTGGCGCACCCCTGCAAGAGCCTGTTGGTAACAGATTAGCAAGTCATGGCGTGAATATCATCTCGGCCTTTGGAACGTTAGTGTCCTCTGCTAACTATCGATGACGTTACTTTCTGATCTCTGAACACAGCACTGAGACCGGACAATTAACTGTGGCAGATATCAGCTCTGACGATCCCCTCGACTGGCCTTATGTCCGATTCATCGATCCATCTGAGATAACATTGGTGGATGTACCAAATGCCAGTGATCTGCGGCGTTTAGTTGTCAAGGTATTTCTTTTTAAAAAGTTTAACCTGGCTTAATTTGACCATACTATCCAGCCAGGCCGTTTTGTGTCTTCTGACCTCGTCAATCATCATAATCCTATTGGCTTCAGCTCTGGAGACCTATGGCGGGAGCATCCAACAAGAAAAGGCATTCCCAATAATTTTCACGCAATTTACTTCATTAATATGACTGTACAGGGCTTTGGAAACACGCAGGAAGAATGAGTAGTGTGGTTAGTTCAGTTGCTTTTTGAGGGAATGTAGCACGCTAATATCTCTTTTCTAAGACTGTGCTCTGTAATGGAGAGAAGACGGACAACGAGCAGCTTGGTAGGGCGTTTTATGGTCTTTTCAAAGGTCAGGTAGCAATTCTGAGCTTGGATATAGAGTCACTTGTACTCAAGAATTCCTTCGTGGAACGCGTGGTTGTATTTGGCGAAGGGCGTTTGCAGAATGGGCTGCTTGTCCTTCCCAAGGCCATATCCTGGAGCAATGCTGATTTTGCGACATCCTTACAGTCAACCACTCAACACATGAATTCCATTGTTCCAAAGCATTCTCGCGTCGTACAAGCTCTCGTTATCCTTGGAGATCCGAAAAAACCTTTCGTTCTGACAGACAAAGGGACCATCCGACGCCACGAGACACTTGCTCTTTACTCTCAAGAGATCCAGGAAGCGTATACAGCTCTGGACTCTGGCTCTCCTTTTAGACCTCTGCCATTAAAGGATGATTATAAGGGCGTTCTAATGTACATTCAGGCAATCGCAGCCCGTGTACTTGGAGTGGAGGTCGCTGTTGAAGATGACCTTTTCTCCCGTGGTTAGTATTCTTGCATTTTACATGCTAGCTTGCTCACATCTTTCTAGGCATGGATTCCTTATCAGCGGCGAATTTTACAGCCTACCTAACGCCACTTTGGAAACTCGTTAGGGACACAGAATTGCCTCGTAATATCGTCTACAAATATTCATCCATCGATAGTCTGCATCAAGTAATCACTGGGAGAATATCGCACAACATGAATCGTAATAATGCAGAACACATAGATGCGATCATCAAGAAGTGGACATTTCCGAACCCTGCTCCAGCCAAGCGTTTATCGTACTTGGAACACACATCCCGCAATATGGACGACGATCGCCTGATTGTGCTCCTCACAGGATCAACAGGCACGTTCGGTAGCCACGTTTTGTCAGAGCTCGTACGGAGGGAAGGAGTCCACGCTGTTTACTGCTTAGACCGCGCGAATCCTCGTTCGTTGGGTGCTCATACTCAGCGAATAAGATACGAAGCTGCGCCAGGCAAAGGAGACACGAAGGTCGAGTCTTGGTCTATGAATCTCGGAGAAAGCGACTTTGGTTTAGATCCAGAAACCGTTCAGAAGGTCAGTGTCTCGAATCTTGGGAATTTTAGCTCTGATAAGTTGCGACGCGTATCAGATCCATAGAGACGTTACCCACATCGTTCATTGCGCATGGGACGTGAATTTCAACCACGAGTTGGAACATTTTCTCGACCCCCATGTCCGTGCCCTACATACGATGCTCGAACTATCTGCTTCTAGCGTTCGCACAAAGGCACCATGCATCTTTTTCATCTCCAGCGTTTCTGCTGTTGCGAACTACTCGGGGCCCGAACATGCTATCCCTGAAGTTACTTTCAACTCGTCGAGCTTACCACTTGATCAGGGTTATGCGCAATCGAAGTATGTTGCGGAAAGGGTTCTAATTGATGCATCCCGAGCCGCAAATATACCAGTAACGATTGTGCGTGCTGGACAACTCGCTGGCAATACCACGCTAGGCGCATGGAATGTGATGGAACATATTCCTATTTTCATTCAGGCTTGTTTCTCTTTGAAGCTTATGCCCTCTCAGATTCCGGTTCGTCATTCAAATAACCCCCATACCCCACCAATGATCTAATTCTCATTATAGAACTTGTCATGGACGCCGATTGATGTTGCATCAGCCATATTGGTGGACATCGTACTAAAGGACCCTTACAGTGATGCGACCAACCTTTTGGTGCGGCACATCGACAGTCCCGAAGAACTCGCCAGCTCGGATTTCCTACAATGGATGGTTGAGGCATCAGGGAATTCTATAGTTCTCGTATCCAACGAGAAATGGCTCGACTCAGTGCGAAATAGCTCAATGGTCTTGAAGGCGAAGCATCTCCTGCCGTTCTTCGAACAATGGTTGTCCAATGCAGCTCACTGCAGGCATCGTGTACTCAGCGTACAAGATACGAAGCTTTTGTCTGAAAGCTTTTCTCGAGCACACATAACCCCAGAACTCTTCGGACAGTACGTGAACTTCATTCTCAAGTCAAATAGTTCATCGAGTAGTGTATAAATAATGTACATCGGTCTGGACATGCAAAATTTCGAACTAGAATTTGATGATCCGGTATGAAGTCCGGAAGAGCATTGCGATGTTACAGCCTGTGCTGATTAAACAAGCAATTGTTTACGGTCGACAGGACTTGCCAGGCTGTGGGCACAGCAATTGCAAGTAGCAGTGCTGGGTAGATAGCTATGGGACGGACAATGTGATAGACGACTATAACAAGACAGACAGCATTACAGTAAATTATTTCAAGCCCAGGCTGACAGGCCAGTAAGTACGGGATGGACACATGTACTTGTTTAATTACCGCCAGCTACAGCCTGCGCTGATTGAACAGGCAATCGTTTACGGTCGACAAGACCTCCAGGGTGGTTATGCTGGGTAGCTAGGGGACGGACGATATGATAGACCGAGAGGTGACGACTATAACAAGACATAACGAGCCGACTAAAGTTGGGCGCCAGACAACATGGTCTATTCTAATAATGGACAACTGGGGCAATAAAGCTAAGACAATAGCTCGGAGTATATGTACTATACAAGATGACATTGGCATATAACAAAACAGTGACGGGAAAGAGTATATTTTACATAGTGTCGTCGATGAAAGTTTCATAATTGAAATCATGGATGTCGTTATTCGAGGCAAGGGTCCTGATATTGGATGTACCGCCAATAGCCTGGCAATATGTGCACTGCCGACAACCACACCTGACAAATTTTGAGCACGTAGGCGATACATAGATGAGTTGGGACTAACGTTGTATAGAAGGAATGATGTTTGGTCCGCTGCCCTGTTTCTCAATAACAAGAACCGAACGCCGACCAGCACAGAGAAGCATAGAAGTAGAATGCTGTAAGCCCAAGTCAACTGCCACACGAAGCTGACAGCGATCGACCAAAATGCGAGAAGTGGTAAGATCGAGGCACGACCCAATTGGGGTGACATGATCGGTAAGGTCATCCTGCCGGTTAATCTGTCTCCCTCCTCGTCTTTGAAATCTTGGGTATGTATAGTGGTAGCAAATACCGCTGTGCTTATCGCGACAGACAGACATGCTGCAGCGTCCATGTGCGACGCATCACAGCCTTCAGTATCCATCAGTCAATATGTATCAGACCGGAAAATACATTACTCACCTGCGATCAACGTTCCTCCTATTTCAAACGAAGCAAAACCTATAGCAGTTACAATGTTCTTTGTGAGCCAGTGACGGTGTGCTTGTAATTCGTTGTATAAGATAGTAAACAGCACGAGAGCCACGCTAGAAAATAGCACAGGACCACCGTGTACGATGGATATGATCCAACAAGCTGGGACTAGGCCCCAGCGAAGAATGATGGCATGCCTCAGCGAGATTCGACCGGCTGGCAATGGGCGAATGGGCTTGTTTTTTGCATCTTCTTCGACATCTTGTATTTGATTGGATGTGTCGAACTGCAGGAGATGCAAAAATATCCACCAAACCACTGGAACAATGCGATGCGGGGTGCAAAGGGGAGCTGAACTGACACTCAATATTGTCTGCAAGTAGGGTACGATGTGGGATTGATCAGTACTTAACTTCACCACAAATTAATGACGTACGATAGGAATTAACGTAGTTTTGATGTCTGACTTGACAAACAGAAATATTGTCAAAAGCATGCCGAATAATGTATCACTTCGTGTGAAAGTGCTGGTGTGCATCGTGGCTAACCAACGGTTCAAGAACAAAACATCGGCGGTGCAGCTCGAAGTAATTGTAGTAGCTACGAACAGGGCTGTACAACTACGCCTGTTCACTTCTTTAGGCTGATAAGTTGCTAATGGCGACTCACCAATGCCATCATGATTGTGGCAAAACATTTGATTCCTAGGGCTGACCGGTTGACCGATCTGGCCCCATCTTGATCGACCGGAGTGTACCATGTGCAAGATAGCCGACTAGTTCAAGACCCTAGCGCGCAAAATCTTTAGAAAGTTCTGCGCGTCAGCGCTATACTGCCGGACATATTCATGCTACCAAATACACCCTGCATGACAGCCAGTGTGAAAGCTCGTCACAAACTTTACGCGACGGGGTGCAAGGGCGCCGGACCAACTTAAACGGATCAACGGTCACTTTGAAAAAGTGGAGTGGTAAAGTACCTAGATATAAAAGTGTGAGTATTCCTACGGTAGTAGGCTAGTACGAATATTGTAGGGAGTGATGAAATCATTTGACGTACCTCTGACTTGGCAGATAAGATAAAAGACTGAGGAAAGTGGCATCCGGGGCGGGCCATGTGCATGATGTGCCAAAACAGAAGTAAATATATGCAAAGCTACTCTCCGGCGTTTCGCAAACACAACATTCAGACTAACACCGTTCTCGTGTTCCGTTTCGTTTTTTTTTTGCAAAGGTAAGCTATTTTTTGAAGCCTGCTTACTCGTTTCACGTATTGACTTCATGTTTAGCGAAAAAAAATCGCATTCTGGTGTGTATATCGTCAGTATATCATTGATCAACGTGGTACCATCAAAAGCCGATGGCATGATGACGAGAAGGAGAGCACTTATACCGAGGAGTCCATTAGAGTGCGTTACGTCAATTGCAGGGCCTTCATGTACTGCTTTTACCGATGAAGATAGAAAGGAGATGCTCTGCAGATATTGTCATGTAACGATATATAATATACCTTTCTCACCAGTCCACGGTGGAAACGCCGCAGTTCTACAGTCTGTGCTGATATGAATTTGAAAAATCACCAGGGAGCTCAATGATGTCCCTGTAAAGGTTTCAGCGACTATCCCCATCATGCTGAAAGTGAGTCAAGTCACGGAGACCAGGTACCAGATACTTTTGGCGTAACTTTTGTCCTGTCGAGAATATACGACTCCCGGTGTCCTTACGCGTCTCCCAATTCATGAATGCCCTCGTACCCCCATCAGTCCTCCGTTCCCGCCGGCCACGCGGATATAAACTATTCGCCATATAGGGGCTCGGGGCTCAGAACGTTGTTTTGGAAATTTAACTCACAGCATCTTCCTTATTTTATTCTACTCCGCAGTATTTGATCCTCCGGTGTCATAGTGAAACTCCTGGCGGTACAATCTTAGCACACTGAATTTTGAAGGACTTGCTACTAATATAATTCTACCGAAAGCAACCACATGGGACAAAATAGAGCTTATCAGCTACTGTCCATTAGGAACGTATGTACTGATAAAATAAAAAACTTCATCGATAACACTATGGAAACGTCCTTGGGAGCAAAATCGGTGCATTCATCATTAAACAAGCGCAGGTGCAAACCGAGACCTGGCACGTAACATCGGACCATAGCTGTGTTCAAAAGATAATTAATCACCAGATTCTCCAAAGCAAAATCAGATGCAAACCGTTTCAGCACGATAGGGATGGGAATCATCAAGCAGGCAATACAGCCAAGTAAAGTTGAAGCCCATCGTGGATCAAGGGCAGTGTACATCTGTGACGCAAATAGCTGCAAGAGAGTCATGCACCAACTGTCAGTGCTACAAAAGAAGAGACGTACAGGAAACACTGCGCCTGCAGCACTTCTAAAAACAGTGTTCGCAGCAAGGGCAGATGCAGCGGCAATAAGATAGACGTCTATACAAAATTGAGGAAATGAGGAAAGAAAGAGTTCTCATCGTACCGATGATATAGTTGAATAATGCAAGCTAGAAAACGTAATTGACTCATTAAGGTATGAAAATTGATATGAAAGGAAGTTCTTACGAAGATCCAAATTGAAGAGAGTCCCATTAAAGCACCTGCCATCATTGGTGCCCAGTATGAAATGGATGGATAAGATGTCCATCTACAAAGAAATGTGAGTTTACAAGACCACTTGGGTATCAATTGGGCTTTACCCGAACCAAAAGAAGGTGATGGCGAATAGGGGCGCCCCAGACATAGCCAGATTAAGACGTATCTCTGGAGAAACCAGTCCTGCTTTGTGCTTATCCATTGCTGCCTCGTACTGAGGGTGAAATATCAAGAGATACTAGGAAAAGTCAGATGAGGGTGAACAGCGAAAAATGCAAGACTCACTCCAAAAACGCCCGTTATGCTGCCCGCGACCAGAGGTAGGTAAGTCAACCCCAACACCCCTAAGGCAAATATTAATATAAAATCGAGTCTTAAACGTAGCAAGATACCTGGCTGAAAGCCGTGTCCCACCGTGAACACTACAGGATATGCTTCGAACAGCAGGTATACACATCCATAGACGAACTACACGACAGTCAAGTCAAAGTAGATGGAAGAGATGAGAGCTTACGCTCATGTAAGCAGTGACTGCGATGAGCATTGGTTCGCAAATAAGAATTTTAAAAGGCCTGGTGAGGCTCTCTTCAAGTCGCTTGTGTAGCTGCTTTGCTTGGACTAGCTCCAGAGGAGCATGATATCGGTGATCCCCCGTTTTCAAACGAAGCTGTTCCGCTTTGTGCAGAAGGACAATGGGACTGAGTGTACAAAGTCAGCATGGTATACATCGGCACTTGTATCAACTAACGCATATGTCTCTGGTAGAGTGAAGTAGATGAACACAAAACACACTGTAGCCTATGAAAAGTTGGTGAATATGCTCGTTCCTCGTTAAGCGACTTACGAATGCGGTGAGAACCCAGAACAACCATGGCCATGGGGTCCCAGACTGTGCAATGTAGCCCCCAACTAGTGGTCCACTAGGGAAAAATTCCATGTAAGTCGTTCTTGTCAGGTGAATCATGCGCCCGCTTACAAGGCTGGTCCAACAAAAGGTGCAAGAGTGAATAGAGCCAACGCTTTTCCTCGAGTTTTCGCGTCCCAGCTATGAGACATTTAGCTAGAGCAAGGAGAGGGCTAATCTATACATACATGTCCGATATCAGCGCACTATTGGGGGCTATTGGTCAAGAAAAGTTGAATCGACGAATTGAGCTCATACCCGCTGTTGGTCAACGGCGCGGCAGCGAACAGACCGCCGAGCAGACGGAATATAATAATGGATGCCGTGTTCTTCGATAGTGCACAACCAACTTGGAAACACTGATGCATTGTATGTGTCAAATGTTTTAATGCTTAGAGTGCGATCTCCACTTACAGCGTATACCGGAAACGTGACAAGGAATATCAACCTTCTGCCATACTGGTAACTTGTCAACAAAACGGTGTTCCGAAATACAAAGTTGATATACCTGCTCCGATAGTGGGCCCCAGAAAAGGGGTCCAACGCAATACCCGGCCACAAAAACTGAAATCGTCAATGCAGCTACCTCTTCAGAGAGCTTGAACTGAGCCATAAGTTGGGTAGCAATGCCAGAAGGGGCAGAGGAAGCAAACGTGCTAAATTACATCATTAATGTCATTTGTCGAGTTGCAGCGTTCAAGAGGAAGAACTCACGCATTAAATCCCAATAACCCCGCAAAATATGTCAGGTACCAACGTTTCCGTCTGCTCCAGTTCTGAAGTTGGTCGTCGAACGTTTTTAGAGCTTGCAGGACGAAGCTTTAGATAAACGGCGGTACCTTTGGATTTTCCTTGTCGTCTGGTGCAAATTGTACCAAGTAGGGATCTACCGGCGTGGCGTTGTCTTGTGCCATGAATTTGCGAGTTACTCGATGAGTCTAGTTGAGGCTGGGATATGAAAAGGTACACCTGCCAGCCGTCAAAAGCTAGCGCTGACTGCTGGTGGGTAATGAGACACTGAGAGAACGATTGAACAGCCCTGGCAGTATTAGTATAGTATACTAGTACTATTGTATTTCAATACACAGCTTCGAAGCAAAAATAGTTTGTCATACCGCACCTTCTCGGAGAGATCAGCTATACAAAAGGAAACAATAAGTAACACCGCCCCCGGGATGGGAGCGGCTTTTAGTCATGGAGCTTGTGAAATGTGGTACACAACACAACGTTGCCAGTGGGTCATGTTGTACTGATGCCATGATGGATGCAGCGTGCTAATATTACACTTACCTAATTCGTAAAAGAATCATGATAAGTTGTTTACATGTTATAATATTCGTTAAATAATTAAACGACCAGATCTGGCTTTATTTTGTAACATCCGGCCTGAGGCCTGACAGTGACTATTGATGGGCCCTGAGGAGGAACAGGAATGATGACCCGCCAGCATTATAACCGTAGTGTCCCACAAGGTCAGTATCCACCGCATGGTCGCTGGCTGATCACATCAATGGATCTATCGGCCTATAAGACGCATGATTCAAACACCCCGGGTATCACCTACATCACATGTTGCGCCTTCTACTCCTTTCTGGACTGGCATTCCAGAGTTCTGTTACAGCGACGCTGTATACTGATCCAACTCAGTTGCCAACGAGGGAGTACGACTTTGTCGTGGTTGGAGGTGACCACTTTTTCTTTGTTTACTCGTTTTGATGCTAAATTGTTCCGCCCATTCGGCCGCTCATCATGATATCAGCGGGAACAGCAGGCAGTGTCATTGCAGCAAGGCTATCAGAGAATCCTGCTTTTTCTGTCCTCGTGATAGAAGCTGGTTCGAGGTATGTTTATTTGATAATTAATTTTGTTGTCTTTTACTCACTAATATTTTCCAAGTAACCAAAACATTCTAGCCGCTGAAGTGCCATTCTTAGGTTCTTCTCTCTCCCCGAACACCGCTGTTACATGGAATTACACGACCACACCCCAAATCGGTCTCAATAACAGGTCTATACCATATCCAAGAGGTTATGTCCTTGGGGGCTCAAGTACAATCAGTAAGTCTACTATTCTTAGAATATAAGAAAGATCTAATGGGGTTCCAGATTTTGAGATATGGACCAGAGGCTCGATAGATGATTATAATCGATTCGCGGATGTGACCTGTGACCCTGGTTGGTCGTGGGATGAAATGTTTCATTACATGAAGAAAGTAAATACCCCCATCTTACTGACCTGGCTCAATTCTAACTGGCTGGTAGAGCGAACATTTGGTCCCTCCTACGGACAATCGTTCTGTATTCGGAGAGGTGGATCCCTCTATACATGGCAAGAAGGGGCCAGTGCAAGTAAGCCTGGGTGGCTTCGTCAGTGGCATGGATCGGCGTGTTATCGACACAACGAGAGAATTGGACTGCGAGTTCCCTTACAACGTAGACATGAATTCAGGCTATCCTCTGGGACTTGGTCAGGCAATGCTAGTAACACTAGGAACAACCGCTCATTATTCTTAGGATGGGTGCAGAATTCCGTGAGCTCGAAAGGTTTTCGGAGCAGCTCAGCTACATCATATTTGGCACCTGCGATGGAAAGAGACAACCTGGATGTCCTCATCCAAACTCGCGTCACGAAACTTGTAGCGGTTTCGCAGGAAAATGGCGTTCCGACATTCGGCCAAGTAGAGGTGGCTCAAACTGCAACAGGTGACTGTAGCGTTTCTGCGTCCTGGTGTTCTCAACTCACATGCTCTCGTAAGGTCCACGATTGTTGTTCAACGCAACCAAAGAAGTCATTCTATCCGGCGGAACGATCAATACACCCCAGCTTTTACAGCTGAGCGGTGTTGGCGACTCGGCGTTGCTTGCGTCGTTGAATATCACTACCATTCTTAATCTTGGAGACGTTGGCAAGAATCTTTCTGACCATCCTTTCTTGGCCAATCACTGGCTCGTCAATTCCACTTCCACGTTCGAAAAAGTTGGTCGAAATGCCACTCTGACTGCTGATCTGCTCGCACAATGGAATGCGACTGGCACAGGCCTTTTCTCGGACCCCGGTGCCAACCAAATTGGCTGGAAGCGACTTCCACCAAACTCAAGTATCTTCCAACAGTATCCTGACCCATCTGCTGGCCCGGCATCTGCTCACTATGAACTCCTGCCCGTCGTAAGTCTCTCTTGTTCATTTCATTCGTGTAATCTGATGACGTGCGTTATAGAACGGATTCGTGTCATTCGTTGAAAGTACCCCAGCGACAGGGTTTTTCATGTCTGTTGTAACAAACGTAGCTTCTCCACTATCTCGTGCGTAATTTTGCGCGTATCGCGTGCTCAGTCGCTGACTGATTTCAAGGTGGTTCGGTGACGTTGGCGTCGAGCGATCCTTTTGACAACCCAATCATCAATCCTGCATTGCTGGAAAGCCCATTCGACATTTATGTAATGGTGGAAGCCATTAAATCTGCCAAGCGATTCGTCGAGGCGCCCGCATGGAAAGGTTACATTATCCAAGCCCTTGGTGCTCTCAATTCCACTACAGACGCAGACTTAGCAGAGTATGCTCGGAACTCAACATCTACGGTTTTCCATCCAGTTGGAACCGCTCGAATGACGTCCTACTCTAACCAGGATGGTGTGGTCAACCCAGATTTACTTGTCAAAGTGTCTTCTGGATTGCGAATCGTAGACGCATCTGTTTTAGTGAGTCTCAGCTTGGCGTTACGTGATCAATGTTTCTGACATCTGTTCAGCCGTATATACCGGCTGCACATCCTCAAGCATGTGTTTATGCCCTAGCTGAAAGAGCAGCGGATTTGATCAAAGCTGCATGGTCCTGAGTCTCGGATCGAGCTGGTTGGAAGCATAATGTCCCGTGGACTCATCACGTACATGTTTTCTTGTCTCTGTATGTGCGAGGTTGCAGCCACTTAATCACATAGATTTTGATCGGAAGGCTACGGCTGCCATGAGAACTTTGTGTTTAAAAGTAATCTTCTCGGCATTGACGGTGATGACATCTCAAAACAGGAACACCGAAGTGCCTGTAACACCTAGAATTTCCAAGAGCGCAAATACGTCTCTGATGAAATTGGTTTTCGGTAAGTGTTCTTACGAGTCAGCAGCAACATTTGAGTTTAGCCCAGTCTGCTTTTCAGGGCATCGTTCAGTTTGACAACTGTAAACTCCGGCTCGGTAGGTATAAAATTGACAAGAAATTAAAGAATTAAATGGCATACTCGATATTGCAGCAGTGCTCACAGGGAGGTTTCGATAGCCCGGGTAGGATGCAAGTTTGTTCGCTTCGTGTGGATCTCCCCTATCTTTGATGGCTGACTATTCAGATCTGGCATCATGTCGACGCAATTTTTGGATGAGGTGTTACGCTCACCGGGGCTGTGCTGGCGAGATGAAGAGAGAAGATATGACAGGCTTCTTGACGGTCGCACCATGACCGGTATGTGTCGTATTACTTGCTTGCATTGATGGACTTATGCACACGTGCAGCAAAAACATTACGAGCAAGGCGGCAAGAGTACTGGCAGTTTTTTGATGCTGCTCAAGTACTAGTGTTTCACCACCAACCAAAAATATCTATTTTGGCAAATCAAAGCAGTGACGGTATCAACCCTCGATGTTTCAATGATCCAAGTTGTGGTGGTTATATAACTAGCACGAATGCTATCGTCATACGTCCACCAAGTTAGCTTTTCACCCACACTTATCCTCTACCAACATGACTATAGTCTCGAATGATCCCGCTTTGTTGCCGTTCATCAACGCAGAACGTGTTTATAGCTATTTTGCAGGTTCGCGGAGAGCAATCAGATGTTGAAGCTGCTATCTTAATCTAACCTTGGCTGCGGTTTCACAGTTGCCTCCTTGATTGGGGCGACGTATGATTGGGGTCAGCATGGTCATATTTAAATGACTGTTGATATCTTACAAGTGTTTTCAGCACTTACACTCGGACAAGAGGTACGTCAATGCTACGACTGGAGCAGCCATCTCGCTAAGAATGCTTTTGTAGATTGAATTGGTCTGGGTGAGTAGAGTCTATGTCAGAGAAAAAATGACGAAATACACTTAATTACAGAGGCAACCCTGGTCTCTCATGACAATTATGTATCTCGGTGTATGTAGCAGGTTTTTTGTTGCACCATATTGTGCTGACTTAAAAGTATCCTAGGCGCGCTACATTGGATTAATATTTTGGGCTGCGTATGTTCAGAAGGCTAAATAATCGGTGTTATGCTAATGGTCTGTCTCATAATCAGCCCGGCCGTACTGAGTATGTCTCCTTAGTACATTCACTATCTTCGGGTCTTCTGACCAACGACATACAGACAGTGTTCAGACCATCCCGCTAACAGATACAGTGAGTCTTGTGCACAGATGCCTACTATTCCCCTCCAATTAACTGTGGTGCCCTGTAGGAGTGGGTGTGGCTCTTTACTAACTTCCTGGTGAGTCACTCATGATTGCCACGCTATACGGCCACAGATGTGAGTCTGTTTGCAGTGTGTACTGCCCGAGGCTGGTCACTGACTGGATTCGTCAGGCTCTCTTATATACGTCGTACGGAGTTCGGGGAGTGCTTTGGCGTTAGCGATGTTGTGCGGTGAGCTTGGCACTTGCGAGACCTCAGTGATATTGACTTGATCGAAACATACTGCAAGTCATCATCGTCACTCGGTTATATGCCATGTATCAACGATCCAGAAGAATTCTGATCTTTCTCGTTGTTACCTTCCTGGCTGTCTACATTTTCACCGGAGTGGTAATCGTACTAGCAGCAGTGTATAGTTCAGGAGGTACGTCTAATTGTGGATGAAACCAAAATGGGGCTCATTAATGAATACCAGAGGAACTCATCATCTTCGGCAATCATCAGTGCTCGTATGGCTTTGCGAAAGATATCACACTTCTGGTTTCCATTGATTGGATAGTCAGCCTCGTATGGGAGGTCCTCGCACTATGTCTCGCAATCTGGATTGCTGTAAAACACTTCCGTGAGTTGCGGCTCGGAAATGCAAGAGGGATCATCAAGGACTCTTTCACTATGTTGATAAAAACTCAGGTGATTTATCTTGCGAGGTAGGTTCATATAAGTTATAATCATGGTTCCTTTTTCCACTGAAGGGTCGGACATGCTAGTTTTGTTGCTGCTTCCTGCCTCTTCGTTATTCTCGATTTGTTTCCGACACTCTTAACGGTATGTCAATCTTTCACTGACCTCTCTGCATGCAACCATGGTTCATCATTCTTATAGAATCCCTTGGAAGATCAGATTTTTTATGGCTTGCTTGATATTTTTATGGTCGTGCAGAGGTCTGTGCTGGGACCACGCCTGATCCTTAGCATCCGAGAATATCATGCTAAGCTCGTGGTTGATTCCAACGCGGCGACTGATATGATCTCAGTGGCTTTCCAGGAGCGTGTGTATATATCAACTAGCAGTAGTGTGTAATGCTCGGTGAAGTTGACAGCTGACTGGTGCTCTACAAAGAGTAGGGGAATTTATTCCTACTTTCGTGATGGTATTGACCTAAATTATTTTGGGTTCCGAAGGAAGTTTCAAGGAGACGTACTCTGGGCAAAGTTTTCGTCGTAGTATTTGGTTATAATAAGTGGTTTACTATCCGTGGTGGTTATGTTTGTTTAAACCAATATTCTGAATACCACTACTGGCACTAGCTGCCCGCCCGCACTTGCACCAATCACTGGTCTTTCTTTCCGTGTGATGCAATCATTCCTACGATTACTTGGGTAAATGAGCGTGCGATGGAGTGACAGTGCACTGCTTCAGTTCCTCAGCGATCTGCCCCCGTAGTGACGTGCATAGCCCGGCTTCAGGCCGCGGGCCAAGCCAGGCCAAAGTTCAAACGTTCAGAACGTTCATGGCCTGACATCCAAAGCCGCACAGGCCGCGGCTTTTGTAATTAGTAAGCACGGTTAGTAACCTAACACCGGTTCTCCAAAGTTTCCGTTGCGCCCGATTCATCCTCTTGCCTCATTCAACATCACAGCCTTGTCTCTCACCTCACTCGCGCCAACTGGCTTACAGAACGAGATAGGCATTAGGTGATGCATTGAGTGTGGCACAAATTTATAGCGACCTAAGGTCTTGTTTTGTATGTTAGATCAAGAAATAGCATATGGATTATATTCGTGTTTTTATATCGCCTTTGCCCATATATTCCCTGCAGAAGTCAGAGACTCGGAGGAAAAACGTCCATCTCATCAACTTCGACATAGATTTCCCCTTCACTGGTTCCTCTCCTCCACTGAACACGGCTGAGTTCTGCGTGGTTAAGCAACCATGCAGGATCGACATGGTGAGTTGCAGCCAATGAGCGAATGCTCAGCATCGCGCGACAGACGGAGACGACTGTGGTCCCTACTGCCAATCTGGGGGATATTTCCCATGAGCTTTCGGTGAACAGAAAGGTTGGCATGACCTTACCCTCCCCCAAGGGCTGGATAGTAGACCTGGAACCGAATTTCAAATTGTAGTTGGTAGCTATGGTCATGAAAACTTACAGATATGTGATCTAGTTCAGTCATAGAAAGGCAGATAATTTCGTACAGCAGCGTTCCTATCATTTGCTTCAGAATCTGTCATGTAAGAATAATCGAGGTATACCCACCCGCAGCAAAAGCATACATAAACATCCCTCTAACCAAACATTAGTAACTAGTTTGCGACCGACAAAAAAGCCTACTCTTTTAAGAACCGGTGAATAATCCCATGTTCTTGCAAAGCACCTGAGCTGGCTTTAAAGCGATACATGGTTAGTGAGAACATGACCGTATGAACGATCAAGGATGGCAAGTAGATTGCGAATATCACTGGAGGTCTGTCGTTCGAATTCACGGACGAGTTGGTGATCTCGTAAGCACTCTTGACGGCGTCAAAACTGACGCCACCGACAATTGCAGTTCCTATCATGGAACCGATGAACACGACGGCCGCAAACCATTTAATCAAGTGCCTCCGATAGAATAGATGCCACACTCGTAGTGTCACGACACCTGTAGACTCGTCGTTAGTAAAGGCAATTGGATACGATAGTCAAGCCGCGGTGAGAAGGGCTATGTCCGACATAGGGTCTTCGACCCAAGGGACGATAAATATGAATTTTTAAAAAAGGCAATTTGATCGATGAGAAAGTGAAAGACAAACATTGGCAGAGCACCATGACCACGAATGCAAGGAGATAAACCACGACAAAAAGCTGGCCAGCGCTAGTATTTTAATGTGAGTTAGTCTTGCTGCGGCCCTGTCAGCTGTACTAACTCACGCCTGTGGAAGGTTGTATGTAAGTCCCCAATGACGATATGCGCAACCTAAAAATACCTACAAGATAACTGAGGTTCTTGCTATCTGCTGTTCGGATATTAGTTTCCAGAGCCAGTACACAGAATACTCAAGCTGACGGACCAAAAAGGACCAAGCTATGTAATCGATTTCGTCAACAGGTGCAGCTTTACGAGACGGAGTCAAAAACGCACAACACTTGTGTCACAGCGAGGTATCGGATCTGTGAACCTACGATTAATCACAGACAATAAAATGAAATCTGTCCACGGCATTACACTGAGATATAGTATCCTCGAAGCTGACCATGGCCCAGACCAGAAGAAATCTATCTGAAATGATAACGGCAAATTGAGAGATGACTCAGATTTATGAAGGCGAGAATATTTACCTCTTCAGCAAACGTGATAGCGTGGTCGTACAGCACAAGGGTGAATGATACCAAAGCCAATTCATTAGATGAAAAGTGGGCCCATGGTAATTGCGTCTGTGTGGACATGACCTCGAGGAGTGGGAATTAGGGAATTAGTGCGCGTATACTTCTTATTTGTATATACATCATTGATCAGACGGCTCGGAAGCTGATGGCATCTCAAAGATATGATATGTTTCGACCTGCTGAAATAGGAAATGTATCACCGATCAGAATGTTTCGTGTTTGGGCCTGGCGATATAAAATCAGAATTGCAGTACGACAGTAGCCTTTGTTGGGTGACATGGGATGACTTGGAGCGCGCCGCGCGCGGACAATCCAGATGCTGTGCACGGGATTTCTGCATCATTGCTGAGTGTTTTTCCCATCCATGGCCTAAGTTGTTCCAGAAATATTCCCCCGCAGACAGCTCGGAGTGGTCAAGACAATGATGTGTGGCGAGGTAGAATGTTTTACCATGTGGAACTTGAGCGCGAGCTTGAGCTTATGTAACCGATAACACTAAGTACCAATTTGTTATTCTAATTTCCTTTTGGACGACATTGTTCACGTTGACATCTCATCATATGGTATCTGTACATGCTGCATCATGCTGCACACGGACTTAAATAGCATGCAGCGTCTGATGACGAATAGAGAACTACACATGTGTATTCTTATTGTTGTTCTCGTAATGGTCAGGGCTGGCTGTGTTATTTTGACCGCCTCCTTGTTACCCTTGGATATATTAACATGCACCCAACACCCAAGCTGGCAGGGCCAGGTTAAGTTCACTCGAGTTACCCGAGAGGCTAGCAGGCTGCCAAGTATCGAGTGATCGGAATGGCACATGGTCGCTTAAGCGCTTACTTCCAGTCGTGACTATATTTAGACCACACACGTCGCAACTCTTGGTTTGTCACGCGATGTCGGAAGAATCCTTACAAAAAGAGTATCAAGACACGTTGAAGACACGAGGTTTTGATCACTCGACGATCCAAAAAGTGACCGTAGGGGATGGTATAATAAAAAGTAGACATGAACAATGATTCTGAACGTAAGTGATTACATAGTAGCTGTGCGAGGACGCTTAAACTGAGCTTACTTTCAAGTTGAGATCTGAGATAGGTCTACAGACTCGGCATATCGAAAATCCAGTGTAATACTCGAAGCTCCGAGTCGACGCCGAGACCGCAGTTCCCATTACCAATTTCGTCAATTGGCTGGCTTCCTTGGCGATATAAATTGTGGACTCGCACTTGCCAACACTTACTGAGTCCGAGTCAGCACAATGGCAGACGCTGTAATACAACTGTAAGTAGTACGAATCCTTCTCTCATGTACTAACTCTTCTACTCACGGAATATAGAACAGGTCCTTTGGTGAGCTTATTCGGGTGACTTGAAGGTTATCAAGCCTCATGAACTTGTAGGTACTAGGGTATCAGTTTAATTGGGGCCTCTATGGTGTTTTGGCAACTCAGCTTTGTGAGTAACAATTAATATCGTTAACCTTGTGACGGAATTGTAACTCTGTACAAGACACCTATCATCAAGCAGGTTTTCAGGACAATCGATTGATCAAGTCCATCGTATACGGACTTTTCGTCCTTGAAACTTTACAGCTCATTATGGCGACCCACGACTCTTTTCACACTCTTGCATTGGGATGGGGAAATGGTGGAGACTTGTTGGACGTTTGGCTCTCTTGGTTCGATCTTCCGGTTCTAACGGGCATCAGTGCGTTTTCTCTGACCTCTACCGAACGAGAGAGACCGTATACTCATGTGTGACATCTTACGTATAGCCAGCGCTACGATCCAATGTTTCTATGCGTGGCGCCTCTACATCCTCAGCAAGTCACTTGTGTTAGCAATAACGATCGCAGCTGTGAGACCAAGTCAAATATGTCTCGTTAAATACTGACTGCCTCCGGACCAGATCGCATTAGTGCAGGGCTCCGCAGCAATGGCTGAAGGTATCCAAATATTCATATCACAGAACGTGCCAGGAACCCAGGATAACACCTTCAAAACGACTGCAGTATGTGTTCTCACTATGCTAGGAGGTTATATTCTTACTCGTCCGCAGGTGTGGCTTGGGGGAACTGCCTTGTGCGATATCATAATTTGCTGCGCCATGTTCTATTTTGTAAGTTCATAATACATCTCAAGTGCTATATGTGACTTTGCCGGAAGCTCTCAAAAAGTCGCACTGGGTTTCGCGCCACGGACTCGCTGCTCAACAAGTTGATTAGGATTACTATAGAAACCGGCATGCTCACTGGTGTGTATACAACATTTTTTTCATGTCTGTATTACTCACCGCTGACGATATAGCTATAATTGCTATTATCGAGCTCACCCTGTTTTTGACATTCAAGCATAATTTCTACCATGTGGTACCAGCATTTATGCTTTCGAAATTGTACAGCAATTCCTTCCTTGTCCTTCTTAATAGCCGCACAAGCAATAGCAAACAGTCAACAACCTCGGACACCTTTCAGTCACTGCCGGAGTTTTCCAGCTCAAGGGAGGCTAATAGGACTGGCACAATGAAAGTAGACCTCGCTCACCGGACCTCCTCAGACGATATTGGAATGGTTAGCTTCTCAGAGACCGAAGTACGAACTCCAAATCGCCTTCCCCCCACACTAACTCACGCATTTCTATAGAATCTCAATAAGCAGGGAAACCCACCGCATGATCGCGTGCTCTGTGATGTGTAACATGCGATCAAACATACCACGCCTAAATTTATATCTGGTCCTTTCCAGTCCGTTACAATATTACTTGAAACGAATGATACAGAGATCCGTGCAGCCCTTATAGTACTTGGCATCACCATTTCGTATCGCTTTCGTTGTCTACTTGGTCAGTGTTTATTGTCCGCTGTGACAATGCGTTTGTGTTACGTGCGGTGTTTTCGGTGCATCTTTGACCTAAATTATGGCCTGCATCAAGGTCTGATTTGCGAAAATACGCGTGATATTCGCTTAACGTCCACAGTTTTAAAATAAGTGCGTTATTTTATTTTATTGGACAAATCCTATGGTATCAGCTCTACACGGCACACAAAGATCGCTAGCATCATCGGAGACAACAGGCCTGAGTGCAATGCGTTCATCGAAAAACCTGCTATCTCCATGAGCATCGGCAGCAGTGCTTCCGCATCGCTAGCTCGGCCCACGGAACGTATAGGCTAATCCAAGGTTGAGGAGGCACCTCTAAATCAATGATCGCCTCATGCGTACTTCTCGCTCTCTGCCCCGGTCATCGGGCTATAATGTCACAAGGGTGCAACGGGCAGTATGACCCGCGTTCCAATATACGGGGCACGCATAAGGGGCAAAGATAGGTTTGCTCTTCGAAATATCATTATTCGGCGGAAAGGTATGGGGGCCGCTGGAACCGGTTGGATAACAGAGGCCTGATTCCGACTTGCAGGGAATTTGCAAGGTCTTAGTAAGGCGGCCTCGTCCCAATGCAGTCATGTGGATCAAGGAAAGGTGATTGGATCATAGTAGGTATGATATAGCATATATCGTATTTGAAGCCGGGTTAACTTTATAATCGGATCATTCCTAGCGAGTAGACAGATTGCTGAGCTAGATTACATGTACAGCAAATGAAAGAACTCACAAGCTCAAAGCACCACAATTTCGTAGTATTATTAGCGTTTCCAGTGCAGTGATGATGATGACCTATAAATAAGGATTGGGGCTCCATGCTGAGGGTGTCCAATGTCCAGACGTCAACTCTCTGTGGAGTCGTCTGGAAGGACCATCCAAAGACTACCCCGAGTTACTTGGATTGATCAGTCTACGCATTATCCCCAAAGAGAATCATGATGGACTCTCGGCGCTGTCAGACAAAAATGGTTCAGGCTTGAAGGTCCCAGAAGTGGTGACTCTACTGTCAAATTTTCTAATTATCGAACGATAAGCACCACGGATACCAAGCAACTTGATGATCAGCCACTACTCCAGGCTGCTGGAGTCAGCTGGACAAAGTTTGATCGTACATTGTTGTACTTCCCTGGCTGTGCAGCGCGTCGCTTACGTAATACACCTTTTCCATCTCAACCTCGAGAATCGTCACATCCTCACAGTAACTGTACTCTTCCTTTCCTTGATATGGGTATGTCTGTCTGGTAAAGTTCATGTATATGCTCACATTTCTCCAATTTATAGGAATCCCCAAGGTTCGCGCTTCTTTTATCTGTGAAATATGTACTCAAGGGAGCTGAATGTCCTTCGTGTTGCAGTTTTTCCGTTATATCTCGTGAGCCAGTCGTCCATTATTCGACCACAGAAGCTGATTTCTCGGTAGTGAGCGGTATCCGCTTACCTCACAGTTGATCGAGGAGAACAAGATTCCAGAATTTGGCGAGTTATCAGACTTACTCAGTATTCTTGCGCTGAAGTCTTCGAACAGATAATCTCTATCTTGATTTCAATGGAATCATTCATAATTGTAAGTAGTCCCTGGAGATACGTTGTAGACTGGCGTTTAAATTTTATTCTAGGCTCGCATCCAAATGATGAAGATGCGCACTTCAGGATGTCCGAAGAGCAAATATTCACGGCAATATTCGCATACGTGGACTTGCTATTCGGTAAGATAAAGCCAAAGAAACTTTTTTTCATGGCAGTGGATGGCGTGGCTCCTCGGGCAAAGATGAACCAGCAACGAAGTCGACGGTTTCGCACTGCCAAAGAAGCGAAAGAAGTCAGAGAGAAGGCAGAGTCGAAAGGAGAAAAACTACCAGAAGAGAAAGCGTTTGATAGTAATTGCATTACGCCAGGTGCGTTCTACGTCGTTTCATATGGCATCATGTTGTTTATTCCGTCTTAGGTACTCCATTCATGGTCAGGCTATCCGCACAGCTACGATATTTTGTCAACAAGAAGATTACCGAAGATGCTAATTGGCGTGGCGTGCAAGTTGTATTGTCCGGTCACGAAGTGCCGGGTGAAGGTGAACACAAGATTATGGAATACATTCGACTATCGAGAGCCCAACCTGATTATAACCCGAACGTGCGGCATTGCTTGTACGGTCTTGATGCCGACCTCATCATGCTTGGCCTTCTGAGCCATGATCCACACTTCTGTCTCTTGCGAGAGGAAGTAAAGTTCGGGCCGGCCGCGAAGAAGAAGGGTAACATCAGGTATTTCGTAGTTTTCGTGCATAGGCAGATTGACTGAACGCCAGCGTAAGCCTGGAGAACCTCAACTTCTACCTTCTACATCTCTCGTTAATGCGTGAATACCTGGACCTTGAGTTTCGTGATATAGAAGACACTCTCGCATTTGCTTACAGCCTAGAGCGAGTCATCGATGACTTCATTCTACTGGCAGTCTTCGTCGGAAATGATTTCCTACCTAATCTTCCGGACTTGCACATCCACGAGAACGGACTGGAGCGCTTGTTTGACGTGTACAAGAAGGTTTTACCGTCGCTGGGTAAGTCCTGAACTTCGTTATGTCGCATATTGGCTCACCCTTTCAGATGG